CAACCTGTTGTCTATCACCTGTTTCAATGCGAATCAATCAATTCCTGCAGAGAAACTTTCTACGCCGCAATTATTTTTTTCTCACGAAATGTACGTTTGTTGCTTATGTCTTCTATGGATGTCACTCCTGCACAGAACACGTACTGTGAGCCTCAGGTGTTATGCAGGAGGATACCCCCAACGCCCACGTAGACTACTCACCTGGAAACAACATGATCGATACCGAAAACTGCTAGTAACGCTGAAGGATCGTTGTCGTATATGTATAACCGAAGGTGTCGCGAGTATGCTTTGCTTACGCCTACTCCCTAACACCTAAACCCTAAGCCGAGGTGTCGGGAGTATGTTGCCTACGCCTACTCCCTAACCCTAACCCCTAACCATATCATATAGTACCTCGGGTACATATTTGTACTACCCTATACGACAACGACCCTTCGTGTGCTAGTAACTAAGGACGCTATTTTCAACTGCGTGTTAGACTGTCTCCGCAAGTCACGGGAATCAGCCTTGATACAGCTACAGCAACCTAGAGAGACAGTCTAGCCCCGCTGTGAGACTGCCTCCGTAAGTCCCTGAGAATCAGCGTTGATACAGCCACAGCGACCTAAGGGTCAGTTTAACCCGTGTTAGACTGGACCGCCGTGCCAAACCCGCGCTCCTGATTGGCCAACGAATAAATTAACGCGCTAGTCAATGTGCCGCGTATCTAACGAGGGCGACCACCGCAGTGAAACACATCAACGACAAACATCGCAACCCCGACACACCGAGAGTGGCGAGTTACTCATGCGACCAGGACATCCACATCAACCTATCAACCCGAGAAACAACGCTCCCTCCTATTGTTGCTAGGTTCGTCAAGCTAGATCAGATTATACATGTTTATATCCCAACTTGTAGACTTTTTGGACACTTTGGTTGCTGAGCATTGTCGTTTAGAACTTTAGAACGTCGTATCCCAACACATGACTGGCTTGAGCCTGAATGTCAATAATGCTACAGGCCAGACGGGTCGATTTTTGACCTTGAAATCGATCTCATCTGACAACTTACAACTGCAGTCAAACGTTTGATTTGCACTCCTTTGGTAGACCTGGTACGGGATCTATGGAGTCATGTACTATAGTTTTACTTGTGTGCCCTATAAGAATATTAATGTAATCAGCAGCATTCCACTGTTTGTCACTGTGCCACATGAATCATGCCAGCACTGCTGCTGCCGCTGCTGCTGCCCACTGGTCACTCTATTTCACGTCCAGTGGCATTAACGCGAGCACTTGCGCGTCTAACCGGAAATGACCGCCACCATCTAACGAGAGAATCAGTCTCTCCGAATCCCTTTTTATTTATTTATCTTCTACCTCACGAAGCACGTGACGTCCCTGCACTGGAAGCGGTAGCGTGACAAAGCAGTACACAGCAAGCACAAGTGTCGAGTGGACACACCTCCCTTCAAGCCCACGCTCAGCTGCTGCTCACTCAGCAAACACAGGCAGCCAGCCGATATTTAATTAACGCGTGGTCCACTAGATGATCATACGATGCGCTGACGTCACAGCAGCAGCAGCAGCAACGACGAGTTGTTTACGAAAAGGGTTTGCCTGAAGACACACAGCAAGTGCTGCACGTCAACGTGCGTCATCACCATACACGCACGTACGCTCGTGTTTCCCCGCGCTGCTGCGCAGTTGCTTAATTAAAATAAATCGTCGACGAATGTCTCATCTTAAATAACTGTTTTCCACTCGCGCGGCCGCACGCACACACACGCCACGTGTGCGCCACGCACGACACACGCCCGATGTGCACACACACACACACGCCACGTCTCGCGCACGCAGCACACACGCCACCGTGTCACACGTACACACACGCCACGTGTGCACACGCACACACACGCCACGTGTGCGCACGCACACACACGCACGCGCGCGAACACACACACACGCCACGTGTGCACACGCACACAGCACGCCACGCGCGCGAACACACACACACGCCACGTGTGCGCACGCACACACACGCCACGCCGCGCGAACACACACACACGCACGTGTGACACGCACACACACGCCACCGCGCGAACACACACACACGCCACGTGTGCGCACCCACACACACGCCACGCGCGCGAGACGCACACACACGACACGTGCGCTCACACATGACAATGCCCAGGACATACACACGTTGTGCTGCGTGCAGACGCCACGCACACACACACACAGCATACCAGCACGGATGACAGCGTAGCGAGTGAGCGCCGCGAACGGGAACCAGTGGGTAGGAGAGAGGATCTGTCCCGTGCGCTGCCAAGGCTAGCTGAGTGTCCCTCACCGACGGTGCACCAGCAGCCAGCGCGACCTAACAGCGACGATGACGACGTGCGCGGCGCGCGTCTAGGCTTTGAACGGCGAGCGTGTACAGCCAGCTGTAGCATCGTAACAACAGCTGCTGTGTCGCCAAGCCGACCTGGCACCAGCGTCTTCTGTATGTTCTCTATCGAAAGACTTCCCCTGCAAGCGAAATCAGAACCAGGAGTTAGTTAATTCTCTATAGAAAGACTTCCTCTACAAGCAAGATCAGATCAGGCGTTAGTTAATTCTCTATCGAGAGACTCTCTCTACAAGGGCAAGGAAATATACAATAAAACACTTCACCTGCATGGAAACTATCTACAGAGAGACGTTGCACATCGAACAAACATCATCGGATGTTGGGTAATGTCGGTTGCCGACAAGGTGCACAGAGAATTCCCTTCTCAATTTCGCTTCACCTGGTACCGCACCTCTTCTGCCAAACGACACGAACACTAAACAGAGAGCACGAACAAGTGTGCTGCGCATCGCGCGTCGCCAACGGCAACGCGGCAAGCTCGCGACGCGTTCTCCCCGTGGTACTCACGTGAACACGTTCTGCTGCAGCACGCGTTCGTCGCCACGGCAACCGCTCAGGTACTGCAGAAGGCGCAGCCGTAGTGCCAGAGTAGTTCAGCACAATTGCCACGTGTACAGCTGCACGCGCTCCCAGGTCCGGGAAGCTTTAGTCTCACCTGCAGCAAGATGACGAGCAAAACGAATGGAAGTCACGATGTACTGTATACGCTGTATATTTCGCAGTGGATTAATTTCGCAAATTTCGCGAACACGTCTCCGACGCGAAAATAACAACACGTGAATAATTCATACCGAATAATAATTATTCACCGACCGCGAAATTAACCACTCGAAAATTGTCTGTCACGTCTGTATTCGCGAAAATATTGTACCAAAATATGGCGTATACATAATGCCACGGATGCCTTCACACTTCAAGCATGGCCTCTATTGTTCCGCCACACTCACAGCTTTCACACTTACAACCAAGCACGACCAATAGTTGTTCCCAACACTCACAGCGTTCACATCACAGACAAGCACAGCCCAATAGTGGTTCCCCGCTACACTCACAGCTTTCACACTCACAGACAGCCACACCCAATAGTTTTCCTCGCACACTCACGGCTTTCACACTCACAAACCAAGCACGGCCCTACTTGTTCCCCGCTACACTCACGGCTTCACACGTCACAACCAAGCATGGCCCTCTAGTTGTTCCTGCGTACACTCACGCGCTTTCACACTCACAGCCAAGCACGACCAATGTTGTTCCCTACTTACTCACAGCTTTCACACTCACAGACCAACAAGCATGGCCTCTAGTGTTCCCTGCTCACTCACGGTTTCACACTCACAGACAAGCACGACCCATAGTTGTTCCTACTACACTCACGGCTTCACACTCACAGACCAAGCTGCCCTTGCTAGCTGTTCCTCCCACACTCACGCTTTCACACTCACAGACCAAGCAAGGCCCTCTATGTTCCTGCACACTCACAGCTTTCACACTCACAGACCAACAGCCTCTAGTTGTCCTTCCGCTACACTCACGCTTTCACACTACAGACCAAGCACGCCCAAATTGTCCCTACTTACACTCACGGCTTTCACACTCACAGACCAAGCAAGGCCCTCTAGTTGTTCCCTGCCACACTCACGGCTTCCACACTCACAGACGAAGCACGGCCCTCTAGTTGTTCCTCCCACACTCACGGCTTTCACACTCACAGACCAAGCAAGGCCTCTACAGTTGTCGCCGCCACACTCACGCTTCCACACTCACAGACGAAGCACGGCCCTCTAGTTGTTCCTCGCCACACTCACGCGCTTCACACTCACAGACCAAGCCATGGCCCTCATAGTTGTTCCCTGTACACTCACGGCTTTCACACTCACAGACCAAGCACGACCTCTAGTTGTTCCCTGCTACACTCACGGCTTTCACACTCACAGACCAAGCACGACCAATAGTTGTTCCCTACTACACTCACGGCTTTCACACTCACAGACCAAGCATGGCCCTCTAGTTGTTCCTCCCACACTCACGGCTTTCACACTCACAGACCAAGCAAGGCCCTCTAGTTGTTCCCTGCCACACTCACAGCTTTCACACTCACAGACCAAAGCATGGCCCTCTAGTTGTTCCCTGCTAACACTCACGGTTTCACACTCACAGACAAGCACGACCCAATAGTTGCTGCCCTACTACACTCACGGCTTTCACACTCACAGACCAAGCAAGGCCCTCTAGTTGTTCCCTGCCACACTCACGGCTTCCACACTCACAGACGAAGCACGCCCCTATTGCCTCCTAGCGCTTTCACACTCACAGACAAGCAGCCTCTAGTTGTTCCCCCACACTCACGCTTCCACACTCACAGACGAAGCACGCCCCTAGTTGTCCCTGCCACACTCACGGCTTCCACACATCACAGACGCAAGCACTGGCCCTCTAGTTTTCCCTGCTACACTCACGGCTTCCACACTCACAGACCAAGCATGGCCTCTAGTTGTTCCCTGCTACACTCACGGCTTTCACACTCACAGACCAAGCACGACCCTCTAGTTGTTCCCTGCTACACTCACGGCTTTCACACTCACAGACAAGCACGACCCAAATAGTTTTTCCCTACTACACTCACTGCTTTCACATTCACAGACCAGCATCGGCCCTCTAGTTGTTCCTCCATACTCACCAGCTTCCAACACTCACAGACCAAGCAAGGTCCCTTAGTTGTTCCTCCACACTCACGGCTTCCACACTCACAGACCAAGCATGGACCTCTAGTTGTTTCCCCGCTACACTCACGGCTTTTACACTCGCCAGACCAAGAAAGGTTCTGAAGTTGTTCATAAACACCAGTCACGCAGATTATTATAGTTGATATTGCTACAAGCAAGTTATATGCTGGGGACGATGCTACTAAAGATAGACTACAGGAGTTCTCTACTCACATCCTGCAGCTTCTTTCGCTCTCTCCCATTTTGCATGTCGCCTCTCTGGCTCTCAAGCAAACCTCACCCTCTATATATCACATTTACTGATCTCCCTCTTCTTTTTTCTGTTTCTCTCTCCCGTTTCACTCTGCGCTTCTCTTTTTTCTTTCAATCACTCTCTATATCTCTCTCTCTCCCTCCCTCTCACTTTCCCCTTTTTTTTCTCACGGCGCACGCACTCATGCACACACGCACACACATACAACACACATGCACGTACACGTGCACACATTCACACATGCACACACACGCACGCACGCACGCACGCACGCACGCACGCACGCACACACACACACACACACACACATACACACACACACACACGCGCACGCGTGCAGACACGCACGCATGCAATGCATGCATGCATGCACACGCCACAGACACACACGCACGCACGCACGCACGCACGCACGCACGCACGCACGCACGCACGCACGCATGCACACGCACAGACACACACGCACGCACGCACGCACGCACGCCACGCACGCACGCACGCATGCACGCGCACACACACGTACAGACACACACGCATTCATTAGAACCTTCCCACTGCAACCCTCACCTGCTCTACAAAGGCGGCTAGATGTAGGTAGAGCCACTGTCGCGGCTCTCGTCTGCTCAACGACGCTAATCGAACGCATCTCGTAGTTTCTCACACATCAGCGTCAGGTAGGGGCGCTGAACGCCACACGCGGCGCGAGTAGTAGTACGGGATGTTGGCTGTAAGCCACCTGTGTGCACGAGACACGTCGATATGACTACGTTATACCCCTGTATCATACACCGACCTGTGCACATCCATTTGTGAAACATATACGGCCTCGTTACGTATCTATATGGTATCATAAAAAACTATATAAAATTATTATATAAATATAACATATAATAATATACAGTACATATATATGTTATATATAACTCTTAGATATAATCAATATCGCTTTTAAACACATACATACTGTGGGCCATTGCTATACTATACATATATATGTATGTACCAGGTCAAAAAAATACACGGAGCGATGAACGATTCGCTCTTCAAACCTCTGAAATCGCTCCCGTGAGGCTCAAAATAGCTCCCGTAAAAATTTTGTGAGATCTTTTTTCCCCCACAGACTTTTGAAAAAGAGCTCCCGTGAAAATTTGTTTTCCCCCTGGTATGTACATAATAGTATATATAGATATACATACACATATATACATATTGCATATTGTCATACACATACTATATATGATTACATATATAGATATAAATCTGATATGAAAATGAATCACATTCGATTCATCCATTAATCTCATATCTTTAGTAAATTCAGACACACAGAGGTAGTTAGGGTTCGTGCGTGGGAGCGGCTGGCGGCCACCGCGGTGTCTGTTGTCTGCCTTACCGCCACGACTTCTCCGTGTATGCCTCAGTCCGCTGCCACACATGTTCAGCGACGGCTAGCACCCCCGTATCATGCAGCACTGCCCTCGTCCTGACCCTGCAACCACACAATAAACAACAACAACAATAACATTAATAATAATAACAATAACAGCAGCAACTATATAATAATAATAATAATAATAATAATAATAATAACAATAAGAAGAAAAAGAATAGAAGAAGAAGAAGTAGAAGAAGAAGAAGAATGTGCAGCAAATCGTGCCACTTCATAACAATCCATAACAATAGAACACTGTATGTCTTTCTCAATTAACGAATGAGAATCAGTATTTGTCAAAATATTATTAGACACAGCATAGAACCTGGTGTAAGATAAGTGTGTGAAAAGATAGCTCACATTCCACATGACCACAGCTTAACTAACTAGTACGATAATATTTGTCATATTTGTCAACAAATCAACAGAGTAACTATATGAGATACTACACTCAACTCTCCAAAACTTTCAATGCCTTCAAAACTTAATCTCACCTTAAACCGCGACGATTTTTAAGTCTCAACACTATCCAAGACTGATGAAAGATATGCCTAGAATAGGCCCTTTATAAACTGAACTTCACAGGAAACTTAACTAAATGGATGGTCCCGAGGGTGGTCAATATTGGGAGAGTTGACTTTATATACTATAGTCTGTAGCGTACAGCAATAACTATATACTCATACAGTGAAACGTGAGTTGCTTCCTCAACCATTTGTGTGATACCAGTGATTCATAAACTCGGCATAAATATAACATCAGTAGTACATTTGTGAGAGAATAGATGATTTCTTATAACATACTACACAATATATAGATACAGCTGGACCCACGAGATACGAACGGCTCGACATACGAACGACCTCTCGTTGAACGTAATGTATTCGACAAACGAATAAAATTCAACATACGAATGTCTTACGAATCAGCCAATCATGGCATAGGCCTAGCGCATGCTCTTTCGGTCAGAGTCAGTTTAAGTACGCGACTCATTGAATGTTGTTGTGCTCTTATGATTGCACTTGCTGTACGTAAATTGCTGTACGTCCTATATAAGGTTCGCAGATGAGAATTTTTCGTGATCTGTGGAACAAATTAAATTCATATCTCGGGGGTCCACTGTATACGTAGAACTATATACTTCCTATTGCTTCTGTAAAATGCTCTTGTCTAAACGCAAACAGTGGTAGAGCCTCATATTCCCTCTCACCTTCCATGGTCTTCAGGCATGATGGGATCAACTAGTAACATAGGTGTGCCGTCACCCACCACATATTCCTCACACCTTCCACGGTCTTCAGGCATGGATGGGATCTAACTAGTAACATAGGTGGTGCCGTCACCCACCACATATTCCCTCACACCTTCCACGGTCTTCAGGCATGGATGCGATCTAACTATAAAATAGATGATGCGTCCACACCACATATTCCCCACACCTTCCACGGTCTTCAGGCATGGATTGATCTAACTAGTAACATATAGGTGGTGCCGTCACCCCACCACATATTCCCTCACACCTTCATGCGTCTTCAGGCATGGATGGGATCTAACTAGTAACATAGGTGGTGCCGTCACCCACCACATATTCCCTCACACCTTCCATGGGCTTCAGGCATGGATGGGATCTAACTAGAACATAGGTGGTGCCGTCACCCACCACATATTCCCTCACACCTTCCACGGTCTTCAGGCATGGATGGGATCTAACTAGTAACATAGATAGTGCCGTCACCCACCACATATTCCCTCACACCTTCCACGGTCTTCAGGCATGGATGGGATCTAACTAGTAACATAGATGATGCCGTCACCCACCAGATATTCCCTCACACCTTCCACGGTCTTCAGGCACGGATGGATCTAACTAGTAACATAGTGGTGCCGTCACCCACCACATATTCCCTCACACTTCCACAGTCTTCAGGCATGGATGGGATCTAACTAGTATGGTGCTGTCCCTCACCTTTGAAGCCGGAGTGTTGGTGCACGTCGTATACGATAACGCCGCCCAGTGCAGCGGGGACGAAGCAGCCAAGAACTTGGGAACTTCCACCCGGACATCTTCGCCATCAGCTCCTACAACAAGCAATCAGAAGCAATGTCGGTGATGAGCCACAGCCACAGCAACGCTCACCCTACATAGAGTAAGGATATGTTGAACATGAGACAGAGGCAATGTCGCAGCAACAGCTCACCCTCCATAGAGTAAGGATATGTAGACTGTAGACATGAGACAGAAGCAATGTCGCAGCAACAGCTCACCCTACATAGAGTTAAGGATATGTAGACTGTAGACATGAGACAGAAGCAATGTCGCAGCAACAGCTCACCCTACATAGAGCAAGGATATGTAGACTGTAGACATGAGACAGAAGCAATGTCGCAGCAAACAGCTCACCCTACATAGAGTAAGGATATGTAGACTGTAGACATGAGACAAGAGCATGTCGCCAGCAACAGCTCACCCTACATAGAGTAAGGATATGTAGACTGTAGACATGAGACAGAAGCAATGTCACAGCAACAGCTCACCCTACATAGAGTAAGGATATGTAGACATGAGACAGAAGCAATGTCACAGCAACAGCTCACCCTACATAGAGTAAGGATATGTAGACATGAGACAGAAGCAATGTCACAGCAACAGCTCACCCTACATAGAGTAAGGATATGTAGACATGAGACAGAAGCAATGTCCCAGCAACAGCTCACCCTACATAGAGCAAGGATATGTAGACATGAGACAGAAGCAATGTCACAGCAACAGCTCACCCTACATAGAGCAAGGATATGTAGACATGAGACAGAGAGCACACATTCTGTTCAACATGTGACAGGTTTTATATACTGTGGAGCTGCAACTGGTGGCTCAAATGTGAGATGAAGTTATCTGCAGGCCAAACTCAGGGTGAACAGGTCTCAGCAAATGCAAAAACTAAGAATGTTGAAACACATACCGGCCACTTGGCTTTCAACTGGGAAAAGCGAATGAGGTAGACTTTTTGATAGAATGAATTTTTTATTTTTTATTTTTTAGTTTTAAATTTAGATACCAGGAAACGTAAAATTATTCTATATGACTGCAAGTAAATTAGCAAACTTAAAACCTATATCTAACTAGAGTCAAACAAGCCTAACAGAATGCAGTTGGAATGTACTATGGACACGGAATGCATTTAAATATATAAAACAGCATACAAGCATATAAACCTGAAAGCAAACTTTTGTGCAGCTAACACTAAAACGTATTTTAAACTTTCTACTAATATTATACGTTCACCCTTTTATTCTCGGTTATTTCTACAATACTTACAGTAACCTACGAGTTAAATGTGTGACAGTGACAGCAGTAAGAGCGGCTACGAAGTGCGACTCCATGACTGCTTAGTCAGCGCTGACATCCTGTGGGCGTTACCAAACTGATACCTACTCTGATAAGTTGCACAAGGCGTACTGGGCCGGGCGGGGGCATATACATTCACATACACACATGCACGGGTCAGCACAATGAGGAAACGGTAGAGCGGTCCCTACTCTGCTTTCACTACCCTGTCTTCTCCTCTCATGTTCTCTACTTATTGTCTCTCCCCCTCTTCCCCGTTCTAACCTGCCCTCCTTCTATTTTCCTTCTTATCCATATCCATATCAGCTGTGACAAAAAGAACCGTGACAAGAATGACAGGTGTGGTTAGGTAAACAAGTGAGTAAACAAGTGTATATAGAATGACAAGTAAGACCAAGTGCACAGGTGTGAGTTCAACAATCATGGAAAAAACGACAGGTACAATTATTAGAGACAGTGATTTTCTGTTTCAAAAAATTTCCTTTTCTGTTTGGGGAAATCATGAATTCCATTTCGAAGTAAAGAAAATATGGAAATTCCGTTTTGCCATAGAGATTGTACCAGGTTGAACACACCAAAAATGCAAAATTCCATTTACATATATTTGCATGGAAATATTTTTTTTGGTAGCACCGAAACACAGGGCTACCAAAAGTCGTAATTGTAAGTCATTTCGCTCTGAAACTTGTCTGAATGTAAACCATATCATTACCAATGCTATTGTCGACGGTTTTGTGTGTGATTTTATTGAAATTTCCATGTTGTAATATGTTCAAATTACGTTTTCCGCATTTTTCTGTTTGAAAACATCTTTTCCATTTCCAATGGCCATTTCCGTGTTTTCCGTCCGTTTCCCGCGATCGCGGAAAATCACTATCCCTAAATTAAGTGCACATGCGTAACAATACTTGTGTGAAGAGAGGAAGGAGTCTAGTTATGAGTGTAGCAGTTGTGACTAGAATCATAGGTGTGACTGAATGAACAGCAAATACCACAACAACTGTGACAGAATAACAGCCGTGAACAGGTAAAATATGTACTAATGTGACAATGGTGGCAAGAATGACAATTGTCGCTAAAACTAAAGGAGAAATGACTACAACAACTGTCACTAAAATGACAAATGTCACGAGACACGCAACTGCACGGGAGACCAGGTAAACGTGACAGGTGTGTTAAAGGCATAATAGGCCCATCGATTATGCAATTTTAACGAATGCTAGAGTAACTGGCACCTTGTGTAGTTAATAAGTACATTACCTTATAGCCAAACGCATATTAGTTTGTCCAATAAATGTCTAATTGAAATCAGCAGTCCACGAAATCAGTTGACTGACTTGTTTACAGTTTCGAAACC